TTTCTCCACTTTTTTGTCTCTGATCATTTGTTTTTCTTTGGAAGTTTTGTGTCTATCACATAGCACTGCACCTGGACTTAATAAACACCTCTTTGTTAGCTATGATCGTTATTTCTGTTAGTTTCCTGTTGCTTGTGTGATGAATTACCACAAATGCGGTGACTTAAAACACCACAGATTTACTGTCTTACAGTTCTGTAAGTCACAAGTCCAATACAGGTGTCACTGAGCTACAATCAGGTGCCAGATGTCGACAGGGCTGCTGAAGGCTCTGAAGGTTCCGGGGGGAGAATCCATTGCCTTGCCTTTTCCAGCTTCTGGAAGCCACCTGTTTTCCTTGACTCGTGGCTACTTCTTCCATCTTCAGATCAAGAGCATAGCAGCATCCTCAAATAGCTCTCTCTGGGTAAGACCCCTGCTTCTGAGGTCATAGTTCCTCTTCTCTGACCCTGCTGCTTCCCTCTGACAAGGACTCTAGTGATTACATTCTCCCCACCCCTGATAATCCAAGATAACATTCTCATCTCAGTGTCCTTAATTTAGTCACACCTATACTGTTCCTCTAACCATGTCAAGTAACATGTTCAAGATTTCAGGGATTCAGGTGTTAACATATTCTGGGCGGCATTATTCTGCCCATCTTGCCATTGTTAGTCCCAAACCCTCTGGTAAGCGTATCTTTAAAGGTCTCATCCACCCTTTGGCCGTTCACTTCTAGGTTACCTGCCTGAGTCTCACAAGTGATTTCCAGTACAGCCTCTTCCATAACTTGAGTGGCTCTTCTTCCCACTTTCCCGTTTCTCCTGTTTATCCCAGCTCACATCCTTACAGTTACATTTTTGTGCTGTTCACCAAAGATCGTTTTTATTCTTGATTTTCTGAGTATGTATCTGGGAGAAATAGTGGAGGAAGACCATTAATTTATTCTGGTTACCTTGTATTCCAATATGTAGACTATCTTATTGCACTTTTAATTGGAAAGTATACGTACTGTGACTTTAGGATGTGAAGAAGGAGGAAATATTGTTGACAAGTATTTAAAATGGCTTTCTAGGGGCCACTGGATGGCTCAGTTGGTTGTGTCCAACTTCGGCTCAGGTCATGAGCTCCTGGTTTGTGGGTTTGAGCCCCCACGTCGAGTTCTCTGCTGACAGCTCAGAGCATGGAGCCTGCTTAGGTTTCCGTGTCTCCCTCTCTCCCTGCCCCTGTCCCCTCTCTCTCAAAAATGAATAAACAAAAAAAAAAAAATTCAACAATAAAATTAAATTAAAATATTTTTCTATAGTGTATAATATACAGAGCGCATATTGTCCATGTGACCATGTGAAGATCACATACATGATGTCCGTTTGGCGATGGTTTACAAATATAAAGCATTTGTAGCTCAAGAGCTACTAGTATGCCAGTCGAAGATAGACCCTCACATTTGCCTGATGATACAAATTCTCAAAGGAGAATACAGGAGTACTTATTTCTACAAAACAGCAGCTTTTCTCCATGGGATTCTCAAATTAAGAATGATAGTTTAAGATTTCTGCTCAGGAGATGAAGGTTCTACAGTTTCTTCTCTATTTGGTGAGGTCTCAGGATGGGCTTACAGTGTTCTCCTCTGGGATGCTGATTTATCTGGGCTTGTCTGGAGGGTAGTTACTAAGAATCAGTTAGGTCAGTTTGTAAATTTGAAGAGCCTGAAGGTCTTAGACAGTTATTGAAAAGGAAAGTCAGTTAAAGAGGCTATTTCCTTCAGGTCTAAGGGAAGGGGCAATTGGTAATACAGAGGAGAGTCTGTTACTCCGTTTCGGCAACACCATGTACATTTAAGTCTTCTGAGAAGCAAACCCCAAGGTGGGATTAGAGGATCAAACTTGTTATTAAAAAAAAATCTGGAGGAAATGCCTGTGGAGGATAAACAGGGAGGGAGCAGAAATTGGTGGAAGGGAGAGTCAAGTCCAATATCTGTGAGCAAAGAGAGGAAAAGACAAGTCACATAGGAAGAAAGCCAGACTGCCTCACAGCTCTGAGAACAGTGTGGCCATTATCTGATGGGGCATCTCCAGCCAGAGTTGCCTTTGGGGACATTTGGTACCAGGGCGGGGAGTGGGGGGGTGGGGGCGGAATGGGCAAGCATCAGCACAATGGAGTTTATCAGTTAGTTGGAAGTAGCCCCCGCACTCTTGTGCCGGTGGGTGGTTACCACCAGTTAATTGTGTTTCCTGCAGTAAGTTCTCCTGAGGTGAAACCTAAGTGGGAAACCTCCATGTTCACCACAATCCACCCCTCAACTCTCCTTGCTCATTTTGGGAACAGCCTTCAAATGATTTTGATTTTGACTTTCTTCTCTTCTGTCATTTGTTGCTAGATCACACCACAATATCTGTATACAGTATATTAATAGTACAGTATTGAAGTCAATGATATTGATTTGGGATTAAAAGAAATAATACAAGTGTAGCCTTGTAACATTTCAGTCAAAATTACATATGTTAGAGTTGTTCCAAATTTTGCATCTGGTTACTGATCATATTCTCCTTGCTACATAATATTTCTTATATGAATTTACATGATTTTCGGTTTTCCAACTCTAAATCTGAGTTATTTCCACCAACCATTCTTACTTTAGTAGAAACTGGTTTAACAAGGTTGACTTCTTGTCCTTAATACCAAGCTGAGGTCTATTACGTTGGGGAGCAGTGGAAGTTTCGCACTCCCTGGATACAAGGGACATATTTAAATAAGAAATAAAAGGCAGAGGGACAATTCTATGAATTTCATGAGTAGGACACTTTGAAAAGCAGAGGAGATGGCTTTGTCTTCTTTAAATGAGGTGATGTTACAGGGGTTAAAGGATTATGGGGTGGTAGATGCTTAGAGTAGTAGGAAGAGCCTAAAGAAGTAAGGCTTCCACAGCAGTCAATTTCAGCAATTGCAGAACTGATTCAGCCAACCTGACCAGCATTCTCCAGCTCTATGGTTTATTTAGTACTATTGTTGTTGTTTTTTAATTTTTTTATGTTTATTCATTTTTGAAAGACAGACACAGAGCACAAGCAGGGGTGGGGCAGAGAGAAAGAGGGACACAGAATCTGAAGCAGGCTCCAGGCTCTGAGCTGTCAGCACAGAGCCCCATGTGGGGCTCCATCTCATGAACCGTGAGATCATGACCTGAGCCCAAGCCGGAAGCTCAACAGACTGAGCCACCCAGCGCCCCTATTTAGTACTATTGTAAGAGAAAAAGCACTATCGATGTAGGCATGAGGCCAACTGTGGAGTGGATGTTTGAGACCCATTTTTTTTTTTTCAAAGTCTGACAAACAACCTAAGGTTCACAACCTATCACATGACTGATTGGAATTTTATGAAACACTCTACTGAAATGATATAGCATGATGTGAAGATCGATTCAAGGTTAAAAATCAGTGTTTCTTAACATGTGCATGATATGCCATTGACTTGCTAACCTTTGGAATCATGAAATATTTGCATTTCCATTGAAGGCAGAAGAGAGTCACTTGTGTCTCATTTCCACCAGGTATTTACCATGATCTCTCCCCGACTTGCTTTTCACATGCTCCTCACTTCATTTGGAGTGCTTTTATCCCTGCTGTCAGAATATTGTTGTGTCCTTGAAGACCTCTTCTTCAGTCGTGAGAGACTGTCACCTCTTCTTCCTCTGAAACCCAGAGTAACTCTCACCCAGCCCTTTTACATTATCTCATTGTTATTTGTAAACGGACTTAGTGTCCCTTTCTACAAAATGCAAAGATCCTTCATCCCGGAATTATGCCTTGAATGTATTTTGAACTTGTTATTCACTAACTTGATTTTGATTACATGTTTTCAGAAAATTCTTTTGAAAAAACATTACAATAATGAACCACTGCAATAATGTTGATAAAATCATAAAAAATGATAGGACCATGGAAAGAAGGAATCAAAGAAGTCAACTGCCGTAACTGTGCTTAAGTAACAACTTGCCTGTGAAAAATATGGGCATCTAGAACAATGCAGCATCATATTTACCCTCATTATCACAGAGTAAAAAACATTAGTTTCTTGGGAGAAAGTTGGTTTACCTTGACCCTAAAAGTCAAGAAAACTCTCATATTAGACTTTACAGAGGAGATAGGAGCATAATTGTATCCTTAATTAACTCAATAACTGTTTATTGAGGACTATTAAGTGTCTCTGGATGTTTCATTTGGTAATTGGGCGGGGGAGGGCAGTCAGAGTAAGAGTTGACATCAGTGTTTACCCAGTGGTGGGAGGGTGGTTACGTAAATAGACCATTACATATACAGCAGTAAGTGTTTTAACTGATAGAAACTTAGCGTTGCTCTATCAAGGAGAACCTACCATGAGACAAGGATGAAGGAAGGCTTCTCTGTAGAGGTGGTTCCTTATGTTTGGCACCAACCTTTGAAAACCATGTGGAAGTTGTTGTGGGAGAATGGGGTTTAGTGTTAAAAGGGGGGAGGAGGCAAAGGAGTGGACAGAGAACAAGGATACTGCAGGTTCTCAGAACAGCAGGTGCCAAGACCCAGGGCTCAGACCTGAAGCAGGGGCTTAACCATGCGGAGTCTCTTATTCAGGTTAAGAAATGTGGCATTGTTCCCAGGAGCTCCAGGGAATTGCAGGTAAGTGTTATATCACAAACTGACATGATGAGGTTGGTAAATTTGAAAGATCATAGAATATGCGGTGTGGAGATACAAATTAAAAAGGAGAAGGACTGAAACCAGAGAAACTTGTCAGGAGGTGTCTGGAGTAGCGATAATGATGATGGTAGTAATATTGCTCCTGCAAGGATGCTAATCAGCACTGTCCTCCACTGTAATGCAGACTGACTGCAGAATCAGTTCACAGAAATGTCTCTCTTCATGACCTGCGATAGAACCACTCACCATTACCTTGTCATAGAGGTGGTTTTGTGTACGTATTTTTAGTATACTGTGGAAAACTTGCCTTAATGATGGGATTTCTTTTCTCCAAAATTTTATAAGAACTATCATATGCTTGGATCTTCAATGAATATCCATCATTTGTTGAAGAAGATAGTCGGAGATTTGTCTCTCAAGAAACAGGCCACCTGTATATTGCCAAGGTCGAGCCATCCGATGTGGGTAATTACACGTGTGTGGTGACCAGTACGGTGACGAACACCAGAGTGCTGGGCTCCCCAACTCCTTTGGTGCTACGTTCTGACGGTAGGAAATATTTCAAGGTGCAATTCTAAATGTAAATATTGTGAATCCAAGCAAAAAAAAATGGGAAAAAGTGAAAAGTATACCATGAAGAATTATTTCACTTTGCGCTGAAGAAAAAATATGAGTACAGTGATGAAGAAAGATCATTTCATTGACCATAGGTCCCTGTACCTAATCCTTACCCAGGACCAGCTTTATTGTTTTCGAGGACCAGTGCAAAATAAATATGATGGACCCAGTGTTCAGAAATTATTAGGAATTTCAAGATGGTGACGGGAGAACATTCAACTAAGCTTGAGGTTTTTCCCAGCCTAGGTTCAGGTTACATTGTCATGAAGTCACCTGTCCTGATTTTGGCCACCATGAGCTTCTTTAAGCTCTGGATGTATTTTTATAGTATATAAAGCATCTCTTAATTTTTTTAAAAAAAATATGCACTAGATTCCCAAAACATATTCATTTTGTAACTAAAAGTCCATTCTCTTTGATGAACCTCTCCCCATTTCCCTGCCACCAGCAGCATAGTGATGATAGTTAATAATACTGTATTGTATTCTTGAAATCTGCTACAAGAGTAGACCTGAGGTGTTGTCACCACAGAATATTAAGAAATTAAAAATGGTATCTGTGTGAGGTGCTAGATGTGTTAACTTGATTTGAGATAATCATTTAACAATGTATATGTATATTAAATCATCACATTGTACATAGTAAAAAATATCAGGTTGTACATGCAGCCTAAATATATATAATCTCTGTTTGCTAATCATACCTTAGTAAAGCTGAAAAGAAAATAAATGTGTTTTCTCTACCCCTTCATGGCTGTTTCAAGGGAACACATGAGATTTAGAGGAATCAGATTTGTAACCCTGTGTAACTGCCCCACTTACACAAAACCATATCTGATACAGCACAATGTCATGACCACATATTACCTAAACATTTCTTTCCAGTCAGTTTAATTGAATTTGACCTTTCTCATTTATGAAGTTACTGTTTCTTGTCTCCAGGGTGCCATTTAAGAAGTTTAAGATTGGTTTCTTTGCTACCAGGGTACCATTAAGTAAATTCCCTCCCATAATTTTTGCTCCTTAGGATATTTCAAGAAGTCATAATACATTGTATATTTCAGTTTGACCAGAAATGTCCAGATTAAATACAGAATAAAAAAGCCTCCCATTTTATACAAGGTAAAAAGCATAATGGCTTTCTCGGAACCACTCTGTAAATGGTAATTTATGAATCATGGAATCCAAGGTCCCTGATGTTTAATAATGTTGTGTGTTTGGCCCACTTAGCTCTGCTTTTAAAAGTTCCTAATGAATGGCTAGTGAGTAATTTAAATCATTAGAGAAACTGGTTCAAAATGGATAAAAAGAAAGTTTTATTTAAGAAAAATGGGACAGTTCCACAGGAAACATTGAAACTATTAACTTTATATGGTGGATTTACAGGTGTGATGGGTGAATATGAACCAAAAATAGAAGTGCAGTTTCCAGAAACTCTTCCAGTGGCTAAAGGTGCAACTGTGAAATTGGAATGTTTTGCTCTTGGAAAGTAAGTTTTATAACATTTACTACAGGGTGCTGAAGTATTAGTTTTCTGAAAGAGATCAAGATAGTTTTTGACAGACTCTTCTTTTCCTTATTTATTTTCTAAAATTTTCTTTCATTTAGAAGCAAAGGAAAAATAAAATATAAGGAGAATGCACATATATAATTTAGGCTGAAACCATAAAGGCAATTTGCAGACAATGACTATGCCTGCCTAATTTCGTGAACTAGATTGGTGTTATTTTTCTTTTGCTTGTTCATTTGTTGTATTTTAATTTTTTTTTTCAACGTTTATTTATTTTTGGGACAGAGAGAGACAGAGCATGAACGGGCGAGGGGCAGAGAGAGAGGGAGACACAGAATCAGAAACAGGCTCCAGGCTCTGAGCCATCAGCCCAGAGCCCGACGCGGGGCTCGAACTCACGGACCGCGAGATCGTGACCTGGCTGAAGTCGGACGCTTAACCGACTGCGCCACCCAGGCGCCCCAATTTGTTGTATTTTAATACAATGGATATGTCTTCAGCTTTTTCTCTAAATCATGATTTAACTCAAGAAAATGCAGAATTTATTTTATTAAAATAGCAACTGAGGTTAAGCCTTGTATCAGGTATATGTGATTAACAATTGGAGATGTTCTGCATTTGAAAACGGGTGCCTTTTTGCTCCATCCTAACAAAAGCTTTATTTTGTCAAGCCTAACATGCATCCAGACATCTGTTTAAAGTAGCAAATAATGGGGCGCCTGGGTGTCTCAGTCGGTTAAGCGTCTGACTTCCGCTCAGGTCATGATCTCACGGTTTGTGAGTTGGAGCCCTGCGTCGGGCTCTGTGCTGACAGCTCAGAGCCTGGAGCCTCCTTGGGATTCTGTGTCTCCTCTCTCTGCCCCTCCCCTGCTCATGCTTTAGCTCTCTCTGTCTCTCAATAACAAACCTTAAAAAAATTTTCTTTAAATAAGAATAAAATAGCAAATAACTGGACAATTTTCTTCTTAGTCCTGTACCTCAGATTAATTGGAGGAGAAGTGATGGACTGCCCTTTTCCAGTAAAATTAAACTGAGGAAATTCAATGGTGTGCTTGAAATCCCCAACTTCCAACAGGAAGATACCGGTTCCTATGAATGCGTTGCTGAGAATTCACGAGGAAGAAATGTCGCCAGAGGGCGTCTCACTTACTATGGTGAGCTTCTACTTTGGGCTAATTGGATTTTTAGCTTTTGTTCTGTCAAATGTTGTTGGGCGGTGGGAAATTATGGCAGAATCCCAATGTCCACTTGTTCTGTCCTGCATTTTGTTAAATGGCGATAAATATTTGTCATAGGAGGAATTAAAAACAGTAACATTTTGCCGTGAAGTCAGAAGCGTGATGTCTTCTTTTTGCATTTTAAAATGATTCCTACAGTAGTGAAATATTATCCTTTTTTTCTATGAGTAATGTTTTATGCATTGAATCATATCAAGGAGCGATTTCCTCTGTGTCCTCTCCCCTAGAAAATGTGATTTTGTATCTTTCTTTCTGATCTTCACTAAGGAGAAAGAAACTGTTGATGGTGAAAACTTGCAATTACTGCATTTGACAAACCACATGAACTCAGACTCTTGAGTTCTTCAGTGTTTTCCTATCCCTTCCAATAATGTAACTGTGCTGTTTGCCGCCTTTAATTCATAATGACATTTATTTGATATACTGTTTGGTTGGGGTAAGGAAAGGATTATAGCATTACCTTAATTTAGAGTCTGTTGGTAGGAAAATTAAATTATCTTTTTTTTCCAAAATTTGTTTTCAAATCTTTTTTATTACAAAATACATTAGGTTTTTTTGATGAAAGCATGATTTAGAAAGTATAAATATATGATTTTATAAAATGTCCTGTAGTTTATGTAATTTATGTAAAGATGTATGCTCAATGAATATATACTTGAATTTAATCATCAGAAACATGGTAAAACTAGTGGGAATTGACCACTTGTGTGAAAGGCAAATTGCATTGTATTCTTTTTATCTTAGACAGTGGCAATGGAAACAGGCTATACACGTAAATGTTTCAGGGAGGAAAATGTTTGCAAAGACAAATATTAAAATTAGAGGGCTTTTTCTGACCTCCCTCAGAAAAATTTGCATTATCTCTGAGTAGACTGACACCTGTTCAACTATTTTAACATTTTGGGATCTGTCAGAAACAACATGGAGGCCTGGTTTAATATTCTGAGTCATTCTGAGTTGTAACTCTTGCTATGTGATTAGATTAGAATACACAGGACCAAGTTAATGTTACCCAGGTGTCAAGGTCTACATGCTGGTGGGATGATGTAAAGGTGGGTTGATGAACACTTAAGCCATGGGGCTGTACAGATCACTCACAGCAAGTCCTTTTTTCTCATAGAAGAGAGCTTCAAAGAAGAAGCTTACTTACTCCTTTCTAAAAAACCATTACCTGACCCAGGGTAAGAGGTGACCATTACAAGAAAACACAAAATCAGAACACCTGCGTGGCTCAGTCAGTTGAGCATAGGACTCTTGGTTTCAGCTTAGGTCGTGATCTCCTGGTTCATGAGTTTGAGTCCCACAAGGGGCTCTGTGCTGACAGCAGGGAACCTGCTTGGGATTCACTCTCTCCCCCTCTCTCTCTCTGCCCTTCCTCTCTCTCTCTCTCACACACACATACACAATAAATAAATAAACATTTAAAAAAAAAGAAAACTCGAATATTCCAACTGTTGTAATGTTTCAGCAGCAATGTTTGAGCTATCTGGAACAGCAGCCCTACCTAAATAAACAATTATATGCCTCATGGGGCAAGAAATCCAAAGCTAACCTAGTGTTCATGTACCATATAATCAGGCCCTTGCTCAGTTTCTCTATGATTTGTTTCTGCTCTTATCTGTCTTTTCCCTTTCTCTGCATGTTGCTCTCCAGTATAGTCACACAATGTCTGCCCGCAGTAACCACAGGATCAATCTTGTTCATCCTTACTGTCTCCAGAACATTGTGCAAATCTGGTTTCAAATCTCATTGCCCAAAAGTTCATTCCTCAACCAATCCTTAGCAAGGAGGATTGGCTTAAAACAACTTAAGGGCCTCTGTTTGGAACAGGGAATATTGTCAGATATTCCTGAATTTTATGGACAGTGTGAGGCAATGGAAGAGAGGATAGTTCAGTGAGAAATGGGGTTATTTTATAAATAAAGAAAGGAGGAAATAGATGCACACCAGACAACCGACATCATCCACTCTACTGACTAGAGAAGGTAGAATCCTGCTCTAGTCCATTGGGTAGGTAATATGATATATTCCTGAGAAATATATCAGAAATTAATGAGATGGGGTGTTTGATGAAAGTTACTCTATACTTCTGGCTTAAGAGTAGTGTATTCAATCCGTGCCATGAAGTTCTCTGGTTATCCACTCTAATATTTCACGTAAAAAATGGCCGGATAGAATATTTGGACTTAATATGATAGAATAAGGGGGGAAATCACCATTAACATGGCAGTTGTAATCTCAGAATTGGCTTCAGTCCAGCAAATTATCCTTCCATTTGGAGAAGAAGAATAGTAGTATTGAGAAGCCAGTGCAATTTTTTTGCTAGAAACTTGAATCTCAGTCAAGGGCTCATGTGTGAGTCTCTTTGTGGTCTTTTCCCAAAAAATGCTTGTAATTCCTGAAAGAAGAAAAATATGCTTTAGTATAAATAGAGTGAAGTGATTTTGCACTGAACTACACTTCAGACTGGGAAAGTCATTTATTTAATACTAATACTAATAATAATAAGGTAAAATGCAGACCAGTATGTTTTCTCTAAGAGTTAAATAGGTGTATTTTCATTTCAATTTCTTTGATTAAAAAAAAACAATTTTATGAGATAGAAATGCAAAGACAAATCTTCCCATGGTTACAATGAAATAGAAATAGATACACTGTTTCTCCATATGGAGAATGCACATGTGAATCACATTGTAGACATCACATACATAATGCAATGTGAAACCAGTAAGACATCTCACCTCCCAGTTTTGGGTCTAAGATGCAAACTGAGACTTGGCTGAATAGATTGTGTATATTGAGAGGCTTTAGTTTTAACTGGTATGTTGCTTTCATCTGTAGAGAGAATTTTCCAAATATCTTCTAAAATGTAACAGAAAATGATAAATCCATTTGGTGCTGCTGATTTGCATACATAATTTAAGGTTGCACAAGCTCCTTCTTTTTCATAATAAGTCATATGATTCAAATTGAACCAATTTATCCATCTTTCCCTGCTTTCATTTTAATTCACACAGAGGTTCATAAGATGTTCATCGGTTTGTATTTAATTAAAAGTTATTTCTAATTTGAAGAACGTATTTTTTTCTTCAGCTATAGAAGTTTCTCTTCTACGGATGTTAATTCTTAGTGTATAATTAAGACTAGTATCTGCTGTCATTCATGTATTAAGTTGTCATCAATTGTGACCTCATGATTCACAAATGCACTTGGAAAGGAGTATGTTTTGTGTACCTGCATTACTATCTACTGCTAATAACCCATCTGAGGAAATAGAATACGGTGCCCAGAATTTTGAAAACAGAGAAAACATAATGAGTTTGGCTTAGGAAGTGACAGATTGCATCATCCATCCTCAAATCTAGAAACATTTCCCATATCCACTTAGTAAATAGGGAATTAAATGTAATTTTAGCCACTATGCTCACATTAATCCATTGCTCACAGTGTTTATATCCATTTGTGTAAAGCATTTATTTTTTACTTGCTGGGTGGTCTGATTTTTTTTTTCTTTCATTGCAGCAAAGCCTCATTGGGTTCAGCTCATAAGAGATGTAGAACTAGCAGTGGAGGACAATCTTTTTTGGGAATGCCGGGCAAGTGGTAAGCCCAAACCTTCCTACCGATGGTTGAAAAATGGAGAAGCCCTTGTGCTCGAGGTAAGGTAATGAGCCCGGTTAATCCTCACTCTCTTCATTTGACATTAAATAAATGCCTTCCTCGTACCTAGTGCCAAAGTAGACTTGAGTTTGCAAGCATTCATTCGCACCTTAAGAAGTGTCAAAGGGGATAAAATATAAAATCAAGTACCCAATCTGCCAAGAAGAAAATATTTTCAACATTGAATGTCATTGGGAAAAGGTGATTTTGTGAATTTAGTCTAACTATGGTATAGTTTTTTTGTTTGTTTCTTTTGTTTTGTTTTGTTTTTTGGTTTTTGTTTTTTGCTTTTGAAATTAGGGAAGGCCTTACTTTGATCAAATGTGGAATATAATTTGCTTTTCCCTGTCTGACAACCTGGTATGGCCTCTGGAGAATAATTGTTATGTGGTTACCTTCTTACATGCATACTTATTTTCTCAATCACTTTCTTTCTTAAGCCATGTAATTTTTGTTCTTTTAAAAAATTGTGTACTATGTCAATTATATTCCTTCCAATTTCTATATATAACCTGTCATACTACCTAAAAACCCTTAATAAATGTGTTTCCCAGAACTCTTTTTAATGCACAGAATTTATAATGTGTTTGATTTGTGTGATTAAAAAAATGGTGAAAACCTTTCCAGTTGACGGCATGGAAATACAATACATTTTTTAAAGTCTGCAACTTTAGCCACGGGGAAAAATAAAATGGCTGCGATATTATACCTCTTTCTTTGTTATTTATTTTACCAATAGACATTTGGACTGAAAGGTGTTTATTAGTATTACTAATGTGTGGCTGTTATGTTAAATCAGTCACAAATTTTTAAATAAGGAAAAGTTAGAATTTCAAGTCAGATTGCACAATCCTCTGAGGAAAAATGAAGGAGGTTTGTGTACGACTGAAATAATAGTGGTTTTCATTTTTCTTTTCAAACGGTGTATACATTTATATGCAAGACATTTTTGTTATCACCTAGGAGAGAATACAGATAGAAAATGGTGCCCTTACAATATCAAACCTAAATGTGACTGATTCTGGCATGTTCCAGTGCATAGCAGAAAACAAACATGGGCTCATCTATTCCAGTGCTGAACTTAAGGTTATAGGTAAGACTAAGCTTCTCTTGTCATGTTTTTTTTCTTAAATCCTCCCTTTTTGCTAGAACAAGAAGTATTTACTTCTCATATTACATTCCTATTGTTATAATATCATTCAGGGGTTTTAACCAGAGAATATATTTTAATGATTTCTAAAGGAAAGCCACAGTTGTAGGTGGACTAAGCCTCAAAGGTTGAAGTAGGACAACAGTAAGGAACAGTGTCAACCTAAGACATCCTTATGCAACTCTAATATTTTAAATGGAGCAATGCCTTTTAAGAGAATAAGTAAATTTGGTGGGTTTTGTTGTTGTTGTTGTTGTTGTTGTTACTGGGCCAGAAAAGTAAATACTGGAATTCAAAACAATCATATATTGTTCCAAAAGGAGTTGCCTTTGGTTTGAATAACCCTGCTAGAAGCTTCAAACACTGGGCATACTGAAGTTTTCATTTAAAAGGCTCAACCAGGGGCGCCTGGGTGGCGCAGTCGGTTAAGCGTCCGACTTCAGCCAGGTCACGATCTCACAGTCTGTGAGTTCGAGCCCCGCGTCGGGCTCTGGGCTGATGGCTCAGAGCCTGGAGCCTGTTTCCGATTCTGTGTCTCCCTCTCTCTCTGTCCCTCCCCTGTTCATGCTCTGTCTCTCTCTGTCCCAAAAATAAATAAACGTTGAAAAAAAAATTTTTTTAAAAAAATAAAAAAAAAATAAAAGGCTCAACCATTTGAGGGGCGCCTGGGTGGCACAGTAGGTTAAGCGTCCGACTTCAGCCAGGTCACGATCTCGCGGTCCGGGAGTTCGAGCCCCGAGTCAGGCTCTGGGCTGATGGCTCAGAGCCTGGAGCCTGTTTCCGATTCTGTGTCTCCCTCTCTCTCTGCCCCTCCCCCGTTCATGCTCTGTCTCTCTCTGTCCCAAAAATAAATAAATGTTGAAAAAAAAATTTTTTTTAAAAAATAAAAAATAAAAGGCTCAACCATTTGAGATTCTGAATTATTTTCTTCTTGCACTTTAAGTATATGAAAAGACAGAAAATGTTATATGTTACATTGTGTTTAGGGCAGTTATCCAGAAAAACACTTTGTAAGTTGCAAATGCCTGAAAATCAACCAAAAAATTGTCAGGGCATAGCATAGTTATGACATAAATAAGAGAGGAAGTAGAAGGGAGATTTATCGCTACATGTAATTAAAATATAGATTTGGATCTGAACAGAATTTGATCCTGGCAGGACTCAAGCATCATCACCATCATCAGGCTCTATATGGTGTTCCCCAACACATTCAGTTTCCAGGAGCACAGTCAATACAGTGGAAAATACATGGCTTTCTGAATTGCTCATATAGAAGTCACAGTCCCGCATGTCATTGGCCTTGTGTACCTGATTTGGGCCACATACCCATGGCTGGTCCGATCCAATATGGCCCAAAGGTTGTAAGCACCTGCTAACTCAGCAGTCCTTAGCTGGGGATGATTTTGCCCCCAGGAAATCTTTGGAAATGTCAGGAGACATTTTTGGTTGTCACAGTGTTGGTGATACATAGGGGAAAAGGGAACCAGTGTGTGTTACGGGCATCTTGTGAGTATAGGCCAGAAAGCCTACCCACAAATAATCCTACAATGTAAATATCCTACAGCGCACATGACAGCCTCTCACAACAAATAATTATTCAGCCCAAAATGTCAGGTGCCGTACTGACATTACTGGAAGCAGTTCTCTCATCCTTTATGCCTGGTGGTTAGAAATCCATTCTCTGCGTAGGAGGCCTGAAGTCTGGGAAGGGCAGATCATCAGCTGAAAATCTGGCTACTGTTATCCATGACAGGGAAGGTGGGGTATTATAACAAAAAGAAAGTAGAATTTGTACACAGTCTTTTTTTTTTTTTAATGTTTATTTATTTTTGGGACAGAGAGAGACAGAGCATGAACAGGGGAGGGGCAGAGAGAGAGGGAGACACAGAATCAGAAACAGGCTCCAGGCTCTGAGCCATCAGCCCAGAGCCTGATGCAGGGCTCGAACTCACGGACCGCGAGATCGTGACCTGGCTGAAGTCGGACGCTTAACCGACTGCGCCACCCGGGCGCCCCTGTACACAGTCTTAAGTTGAAGCACTACTATCTCTTGTATTAAATTAGCCTTATGAGTGATAGTTTATTCATCTTAAAATGGATGATTTCCTACCCAAAATGCTATATGAGGCTTTTGTATGGGAAAAATACTTTTAGTCAAAAGTGTCCTTTTAAGATCTTAATTTTTAAGGCCAACAACCCCTTGGTAACGTATCTTCTTTATCCACACTCTTATATAGAATCACACAATATAATTCACTATATGATCTCCACTTATGAGAAAAATAAATTATATTCACTCGGGTTTGCTATAAGGCAGAGTATTAGACATTAGGAGAAATGCACTATGTTTAGTTAACTTTTTCTACATTTGCAATAAAAGACTGATTTTCTGATTAACCTATCATTTCATTCAAAGATACATTATCGTGTATCTTGAATGTTCAGGTGTTATTTCAGGATCAACATTCTGTTCGTTATCAGCAGACATAATGTTCTCTACATGTTATATTTAATGTGATACTCGAACATTAATATAATAATGCAGATTATAGGTTTCTCCAACTCAGAAGTTAAACATAAGCATATGAAAATTTTATAATGGATGTTGATCAGTTTTATGCAAGACGATAATAATTCAGTATACTCAGCCTTCCTTCTAAAAACATTTACTGAGCCCCTAAGTGCCAGGCACTGTGCCACATGCTGGGTCTTGGAGATCACAAGGGACAATGAGCCTATTGTTGTCTGCATGGAACTAACTTTCTGTGATAAATGTTTTTCATTTTGATACGCTCATGATTGAGCTATTTTAAAACTTAATGGTGAAGTTTAGAAATTTCTACATAAAAAATTATCCCAAGATTTAGAACTTCTAGGAACATACAATGATAGGAATTACTTTTTGAGCTTTGAAATCCTGTGAGTGGTGCCCACTCAATTAAGTAAATCAAGTACTGACATCTGTGTGCCAGGAAACTTTGAATGTAGTTATAACCCATGCGCCTGGGTGACTCAGTTGGTTGAGCATCTGACTTCGCCTCAGGCCATGACCTTGCAATTCGGGAGTTCCAGCCCCGTGCCTGGCTCTGTGCTGACAGCTCAGACCCTGGAGCCTGCTTTGGATTCTCTCTCTCTCTCTCTCTCTCTCTCTCTCTCTCTTTGACCCTCCCCTGCTCACACTCTGTCTCTCTCTAAAAAATAAATCCACCTTAAAGAAAAATTTTAAGTAGTTGTAACCAATATTAGGCTGTATGTTAACCCAACTAAAATTTAAATTAAAAAATAAATAAAAGTCATTATGAAGTCAACCTTTGAACCTACAGGTATTTTAAAATGTTAAATTAAAAGTAAATTTTCATTCTCTCTTTCTTCCCTTTCAGCTTCTGCTCCCGATTTTTCAAAGACTCCAATGAAGAAGTTGCTTCAAGTGCAAGTGGGCAGCATGGTCAGCTTGGATTGTAAACCTAGAGCCTCTCCCAAAGCACTCTGTTCATGGAAGAGAGGAGATGTGATCGTGCAGGAGAATGAAAGGTATTTTATTGTCCGAAATAATGGTGATGTACTCTTCTTACTTTCCATAGTGATGTCAAAGTGGATTCTTAGTATGAAATGAGAAGCAGCAGCATTTCAGTAGAATATGAGGTGTTGAAGAACCAAGACAGTGGTAACTTTGAGTCTGTAATACTTTCTTTTTTTTTATTTTTAAATTTTTTTTTAACGTTTATTTATTTTTGAGACAGAGAGAGACAGAGCATGAACGGGGGAGGGTCAGAGAGAGAGAGACACAGAATCTTAAACAGGCTCCAGGCTCTGAACTGTCAGCACAGAGCCCGACGCGGAGCTTGAACTCACGGACCGCGAGATCATGACCTGAGCGAAGTCGGACGCTTAACCGACCGAGCCACCCAGGCGCCCCGAGTCTGTAATACTTTCATGAAGATAGTAATTAATTTTTGAAATCGGAAAAGGGTTGGATATATCATCTAGCTTCTTCCTACATAGAATACCTTATTTTATCAAGGATTTTCTCCTCAGTCACCTGGTAAGACTCAAAAGTAGAGTGATGAAAGGTCTGTCCTAGACTCAGATGAGCCAACGTCCCAGGACAAAGTAGAGAAGACATAATGAGAGCATATGCCAAATAAATACCAATATTGCCATTTCCCTGTATTGAAATAACTTCTCATTCCTGGTTTTAGTTTAGACAAAGGCTTGCTTGGTTTCCTGACTATTGTAATAATGAAGAGGAAGAATGAGACTTAAAGGTATCACTTATAGAGCAGACTGACTGCCCAGGTTCAAATCTTCATTCAGCCTTTTACTTCCTCAGTGTAAAGCTTTCCATTTGGTGTCTCATTTTCTCATTTTTAATGAAGATGATAATTAGTATGTTATGAGGCTTGTTAGCTAGATGAAATACATAAATATCTATACAGCACTTAGGTCATTACCTGTCAGTGAGTAAGTGTAAGTATTGGCTATGATTATTATTATTTATTGAGTACTTAACTGCATGCCAGGTATTATGCTCAGAGCTTGTGATAGGTAGAATATTGACCCCAAAGATGTCCGTGTCCTTTTCCTGTAAACCTTTGATTGTGTTACATAGATGACCAAAGGTAATTAAAGTTGAAGATAGAATGAAGGTTGGTAAGCAGATGACTTTAAAATTTGAAGTTTATCCTGGGTTATGTGTGTAGGTTCAAAGTAATCACCTGAATACTTGTAAGAGGAAGAGGAAGGCAAAAGAGTTTGTCAGAAACATATGATAATCAAAGGCAGGAGAGATTTCACACTTCAGAGGGACTTCAGTTGGTATTTTTGGTTTGGAAGATGGTGGAAGGGAGCCATGAGCAAATAAATTTGCCGTACTCTCTAAGATGGGAACAGCCCTCAGTTGACAGCCAGTAAGAAAACAGGGACCTTAGTCCCATAGCCACAACAAACTGAATTCTGTCAACAACATGAAGGAGCGTTTAGTAATTCTCAACCTTCCCAAGGAACGCAGCCCTGATAATACCTTGATTTTGGCCCAGCAAGACCCATACTGTACCTCTGACTTCCAAAACTATATTGTAATAAATTTGTGCTGTTTAAGCCAAATTACTAAATTTGTAGTAATTTATTACAGAAGCAAGAGGAAATTAAGGCACCTGGGTGGCTCAGTCAGTTAAGCATCCAAGTCTTGGTTTTGGCTTAAGTCATGATTTTGCAGTTCATGGGTTTGAGCCCCACATCAGGCTGTGCACAGTCAGTGTGGAGCCTGCTTGGAATTCTCTGTCTCTCCCTGTCTCTGTGTTCCTCCCCTGCTCATGCTGGCTCTCTCTCTCAAAAGTAAATTAATAAATTAAAAAAAAAAAGGCAAGAGGAAACTAATATAGAGCTCTGTGTGCATTATCTTTTTTAAACATCTCTGCAACTCTGTGATGTATAGATCATATTATCATCTCCATTTTACTAATGGGGAAAATAAAACTTAGATAATACAATTTGCCTAAAGTCACATAAGCCGATTTTAATCCCTGACTCTAGATATAACCACTAAGTATTTTCAATGTCACATTTTGTATAAGGAGCCCAGAATTTTAGAGGCCATCTCAGCCTTTGAAGTCATGGAATCCAGATTACTCTTTTGGAGATGAGGGAAAACAAGCAATAAAACATTAGGTCAAAAAAATATAGATTAATTTTTTTTTTTTCAACGTTTATTCATCCCTGGGACAGAGAGAGACAGAGCATGAACGGGGAAGGGGCAGAGAGAGAGGGAGACACAGAATCGGAAACAGGCTCCAGGCTCCGAGCCATCAGCCCAGAGCCCGACGCGGGGCCCGAACTCCCGGACCGCGAGATCGCGACCTGGCCGAAGTCGGACGCCCAACCGACTGCGCCACCCAGGCGCCCCAATTTTTTTTTTTTTAATTACAAAGTCTTATTGCTGACAACCAAGTTGAACTGCTTTTATATTACCAAGACACCAAGGTATTTTTGTGAGTTGGTATGATAATACAATCTGCAATTCCTCCAGTATTTAATGGGAGACACTTCCATTAAAAAGGAGCCACAGCAGGATGACAAGGCAAAATTGTGAACTGAGTGATTAAACACAATCCAGCTAAATGCTGGGCCTCACAGAATAGATTTCTGGAATAGGAAGTTAATTAGTGATTTGGAGTTTAATTTTGTAAACCAGTTGAAACAAGTAAAGGCTTGTGGCACAAATTAGTTAATTGTGTCTGTACTGGAAGTTAAGTCTTCTCATGTAACTGCTGACTTTTCGTGTTAAAAAAGTTTTAAATAGTTTTAACTGTGTACGTAAATTAAATAGTAGTTAAGTCCCAAGGATTTCAATGTTTTACACAATAATAAACCCACTTGTCCTCGAAGTAGTGCCTATAGTAGGCAGAGATTTTTAATCTTAATTTCAGAAGAGGATAAGAAGATTAAGAGTTTTAGCAAGAGGCACACAAAGAGGGATTTACTCCCACATTATAGAGTAATGGGGGAATACAGGAAAAGAGAGTATAAATTCCAGAATCTGATCTGGGACTTCTGACTCAGCTCCTTACTACCTTGGTGTCATTAGATCTATTATGTAACACCTTTGAATCTTAATTTCCTCACTCACAAAAGAGATAATAATTCCTATGTTGCATAGTTACTATACAGCTAGCATTTAGCATAATGTCTGATATTTGCAGATATACTAATTGGTAAGAATAAGGATATTTTACAAATAAGATGTTGAAAGTAACAGTGACTAAGAAAGACAGAAGCCTTTTGGTTGGGTGATTCGTTGGCTGGTTGATGTCTCTCAATGTAGGCAGTTGGGACTATCTGGAATCCACAGTTGTCCAAAACACAGACCTCTTTTATCTTGCTTTACTGTCTTCACATCCTGAACCAAGATGGTTGCCATGGCTTTAGCTCCTCAATGTCATCTCCCAGTGACAGGAAGGAGGCAGGTAGAAATCAGGGTACACTTCTTCCTCTTCTTAGGAACGTCTCAGAAGTTCCATACGGTTATTTCCTTTAGGCCTTATTGGGCAGAAATTAGTTAGCTGACCAAACTGAAATGCAAGGGAGATTGGGGAATATGGATTTTTTTTTTTCTTTTGGCAGGCCTGTATCCAATGAGAATTTGGGATTACGTTTTTTTGTTTGTTTGTTTGTTTGTTTGGGTTTTTTTCAAACTGGCATTATGTTTTAAGTAGAAAGAGGAAAACGATTTACTCTAACAATGTATCATGTTCATCAGTGTTACTTCTATCAATTTCAGGACTACTGACCCTCCACTTTGTTATAAGTATTCGTAACATCTCTTTTATGAATAAGAAAACTTTTAGATGTAAAAATAGGGTTAAAAAGAGGAAACGTGTTTATGAAGAAGGTCCATAGTGTTGCAGTCCCTCCCAAGTATCTTAGTTTGAGCTTTTATAACACAATACCATAAACCAGATGGCTTATAAACAACAGGAATGTATTTCTCACAGCTCTAGGTGTGGTCATCCAAGATCAGGGTGCCAGCTTGGTCAAGTTCTGATAAGGGGCTTCTTCTTGGTTTCAGATGGCAGTCTTCTCCTTACATCCTCACATGACAGACAGAGAGCAAGAGAGCCCTCTGGGGTCTCATAAGGGCATTAATCTCATCCAGGAGGGCTCCCTGCTCATGACCTAATCACCTCCCAAAGGCCCAGCCTCTTAATACCATCACATTGGGGATTAGGATTTAACACATGAATTTTGGGGAGACTCAAACATTCAGTACATACTACGGGGTCTGATTATTTGGATTTTGCTTTTATCTCTTTGGACAGCAAAAGTACTGATGAGTCGGAGCCTTGATGCTTAGGGGAAACGCTGCTAGAAGCAATTATTGAACAAGTTACACTTTTGAATCTTCTCCAAGTTCATGTGAAATCAGAGTGGGCCTCAGCCATCACTTGGCAGCAAAAGCCCCATGTCTGTCCCTCTTGACTTGGTCACAGCCTTAAGCCAAATTGAGGAAGCACTTTAAATGATAGATTTATTGTGGTTGTTGAATCATTGGCTGTTCTGACTTAAAACGTCGAGATTCAAATCTCATTTGGGGGAACAAATGACACATTTGAAAATAGAAGACAAAATTTTTGATAGGGTATTTATGGCAGGATTGTAAATCCATTCGTTTTTTAGGTTTTTTTCTTTTCCTTTTTCTTTATCTTTTGTATATGAACTTGGGTTTGTCACTGCATGAGGAACTTATAAATAGGAAAGCTTTCTCCAGCCTAGTGTAGGAAATGCTGGTGGCAAATACACTTTTGATTAAGCCAGTATATACATATACTTTATTATTTAAAGCCCAAATAAAGAAAAATAAATGTAAAAAAATAAAGTCTAAATCAGGAAAAGAAATTAAGGATTAAATATGTCTTAAAAATCGCAAAAATTAATAAATATGTCTACTGTGTAAATCACACAATCACACAATGAATAATTATCTTCTACCTGGTTTGTAAGGTTTTATATCAGCACAATAACAGCTTTGTAATTAA